AAACTTTTCCTTTTGTAACTTTACTTTCTTCTGCTATTATCTGTCTGCTTCTGATAATACCTTGATACCTTGAATATTAATTTAGATTATTCTTTCATTCTGTTATTTATTTCTACAAAAATTGTTTTGGTAGATATCATGTTTGTGCAATGAAAAGTCACAAACAGTCATTATATAAGAACAATTTATGCTGTCACCTAGCGACCACAATATAAACTATTATTTATGAAACATGGAAATGATATATGCTTATAAACTGAACTCACTGCTAAGTAGTAGTTTCCTTTTTATTATTTCCTCACAAAAATACGTGTAGAAGAACAGAATAATATTACTGTCATACAAGCTGTGAGAAATTTGATAATGGTAATTAGGTGCTCAAATAAGGTTATAACTCAACTTTATGATGCTCACAAATAGCTGCTAAAGAGTAAAAGATTGAATGCAGTGGCCAATTTTTCTTGGCCCATCCCTACATATTAAGCACTAATATGTTTAGTGATAGCCCATTCCTAAGTACTCTCAAAATACTTTTATGTCGTACTAAAGCAATTGAAAATATTTCACTCATTTTTTTGTTAGTGCGGGAGAAGAAAAAAGAAAGATGAATACTTTGGCTCTTTAGCTAGTTCCCAGTTCTCCACTTTAGCAACACTTTTCAATGATATTGAGAGTCTTACAAGCTATGAAACACTCGATAATGGCAATTAGGTGCTCAAAAAAGGTTATAATTCAATTCAACTTTAGCAGTTATTTGTAAGCATCATAATAGATTGAATGCAGCAGGCATTTTTTCTCGGCCCATCCATACATACTAAGTATTACCTTGCTTAGCAATACATACCATACCAATACCAGTTGAGTGTACTGTGTCAATACTGATTAGTAGAAAAGTACATATTCAGTAAATAGAATCTACACCAATCTTACAAAAGCCCAAAACATATTTCTAGCCTATTTACACAAGACTTAGATTGTCTTTACACAATAAAAACACACACCTTCAAACCTGTCATTATCTTTAACTACATTAACATCAAGGTCCATCTGTTCAAAGACAGTCATGAGATCAGCAAGTTTAGTCCATACATCACCCTTGCACCTGTAAACACATTAAAAATTCTGCTTGTTAGAAACTGAGAAAAAAAAAATGTAATAACAACATGAAACACAAATGTAATAATGTTTATACAATACTATGTAAACTAAATCTATGAGCTGCGTCATTATTTTTCTTAATAAAGCATGTAATATCTGCTATATGTTTTTAAGTGTGTGGTTTGTTGTACATAATGATGTTTGGGCTCATTTCCACCTGGTTAAGTCAATTTTAGGGTTCTGAAGAAAATGAGTAGAAACAAGGAGAATAATATCCTTGTGCACTATGAAAAAAAAAAAAAGATGAAGCGAATAAAATCTAAATATGAAAAAAACAGCAATTGCCTACAACATAGATTGAAAAAAATAATTATAAACACAAAGCTGATGGACAACACACACATTTTTAACACTTCCATAAACAAAACAAAAAATTAAATAATTTTAAAATTATTAGTTAAAGAAAAATAAGAAATTTCACCTATTAAGTAGTTTGTTCATAAAGAACCTGGCATCTTACTCTAATAAATCTAAGAAACGTACGAACAGAGATTTAAAAAAAAGAGACTAAACAAGTTTGGTTATTTTAAAATATTTCAACAAATAGTAGGATTTGGCCACCTCTCTTGTAATACCCCCCCCCCCCAATATTGAGCACAATCTTTTCAAAGATTACACAAGCTGTGGAACCTCAGATCCACAGTTCACCATACTGAAACAGACGTACCCCATTCTGAAATCTGTGGCTGCTGGAGGAGGCATCCAAAGATGCTTATGACAACTCATCCAGTCTGCCCACACCTTTATCGCAGGCAGAAGTGGTGCAATGTCCTCACTAACAATTTGATCTGGGTATTCCGAGGAGTCCATATGTTCTCGTAAGCCCATCACTCCTCTTTCCATTAACAAGGTAGCCATGGCCAGCATGACTTGTAAGGCTTGCTCTTGCAATAAGGATCGACATTGTGGTCCTAGAGAATGGTCTAAATAAAAAAAATAAAAAAGTCCATCACAACCAGCCATCTTATATTTTGGATTACAAAAAACACAGTTTGAGATAATTAATATTGATGCAGCTAACAAAAAAAAAGGGGGGATCTCTGCAGGTTGTTAGGAAAATACTCATCAAAAAGAAATACTTGTAATTTTTTGTCTTTTACACCTTTTTTTACAGTTAATTTTTAGAAATTTCTTGAATATTTTTGGAAATATTTCCATTACAATATTTTTCTGGTGATTTGAAACACTCAAAGTTAATTTTCAATATAACTCACCTAAATTTAATCACAGGATTTGTGAAAATATCAGGTTTAGATATATAAGTTATGTCTTTTCATACGTGTTGTAAGTTTCAGGGAACAATATACAAATGAAACAGAAAAGACAATTTATGAGGTTAATTCAAAAACTATAACAGTACATTCTACGATAAATTTAGGTAGAAACAGTATTTTAATACGGATTACCTTTAAGGGAGGTGGTCTGCACAGCGAACATGTTAATAGCTAGTAACTGGATGAGACGGGTGGAACTGACGGGGGCTGGGGTTCGATGTAATAAAGCTCTGAATTCTCTCAGCATTAAGCTGGTGGTCTCAGTGAACGTTTCCATCCTGTTTCAGTTAGTTATTTCTTATCAGATCCCTCAAAATCAACCAATTAATAAACAGCTTTCATCATAATTACTTAATGAGATAGTGCACTTTTCTTTTAAAACCATTCTTTGATATAGGTACGAGAAAAACACGTGTTCAGAAGTACAAGGTATAATCAATAAACATGCAAATATTAAGTTACCCAAGTAAATTATTTTCTGTCTGAAGCTAACCTTATCAGAAGCAGGCCTGACTGATAACGTTGCATTAGTATTTTTTATTAATTATATGTAAAAAAAAATTATAATTTTATTAGTTTAAAATGTCATTTTTTGCGAAATTTAAGTACCTTTTAAAACGAAGCTTTAACTTTTAGTATACTTCTGTGCTTACAAATAAAAATTAATAACCCTAAGCATATTTCTGTTCCTGTATTTTCAAAAGACATATTCTTAAATCGAAAAATAAAAATCCTTCGTAAAAAACAAACAGTTCATAAAAACCTAGTTACCAAAAATTATATATATATATTTATTTCAGTAATCAGAAGTTATAACACATATTTCAACCTAAGTTTGTTCATGACTTTAGAAAATTATTCCATCAATATGAAATTACTGATTTCTCCCAACTTACCCAACTTTAGTGAACAGTTTCCCGTGGACATGAAGGAAGCTCAAAACAAACCTCTTGTTCAGCTGGAAATAGAAATAAATTTGATAAAACATTAATCCCTTATGATATGTCTACTATCATACGACCTTGCGGTCACTATCACATAAAATACCCTATGTATTCTTTAATGCTACTTTCATTAACAGAGTTTAGTAGAATGTTTAATATATCTAGTTTTATTATAAAAAATTATTTCATGGGCTTAGTATACGGAATCAGGATTAACCTAAATCTGACTAAACATCATGAAATATTATTGGATTTACAAACGAAAATATTGTTAACAGCAAGGGTACCCAAATATTGAAACAATGCATCATAATCTTTATATAAGTAAGAATGTGTTAAAGAAAAGTATATCTAATTAGCTATATCCATTATTGGATTGATTTTTAGCTTTGATCTAAATAGATCATGTGCCTCAATTAGAAATTAATATTAAACATGCATATTATGAAAGAATAGTAAAAATTTCTTCCCAGGTCTGTTTTTGTATTATTTCAAAAGCTGATCAAAAAAGTGCATGTTTAGTCAATAATAAATTTATTTCATGTTATTTGGAAGACTGAGCATCTTATTTGTAAATACAGTCACAACATTTTTATATTCCTTCACAGGTAACAGATGGAGCTGTTAACTACCAAATGAATGATATAATAGGTCCTAAGACGACTGTAAATACCAATACATATTTGTGAACGTATCGGAAAGAGAAACGTCCCAGAACCAAAGGACTCGGGCAAAATAACCAACTTTAACTGCAGGGCTAGAAAAACTTATAACCCGCTTTTTACCCAGTTTAGAAGTAATAAAAAAAAAAAAATTACAGAACTAAACTATTCATGATGACTATAGACTCTGACAACAAACCAAACTTTTAGAATGTATTCAAACATGGTAGTACACATGCATAAACCTTTATGATAATTTAAACCACCCTGACCAGTAAAATAAAGAATACGTTATAGGTAGCATTTCAGAACAAAAGATATGAAAAGGTAGTTAACAAATTAATATTTAGAGAAGATCAGTCTAACCCATTTTTAACTATTAAAACTTTTACTAAACTACACACATCTACAGTTGACATTTTGCCCAATTCATCCTTTTCTTCTTCCTCTTCTGTCTTGTTGGATCTCTGGGAACTTGATCCATCTGAACGAATCCATATTTCACATCGCTCCTCAATAAGACCGTCCTCATTTTTCCCTCTTTCTTTCAGTTGCCTCCTCGTGAGTCGCTCTTCTTCCTGCTTTTTATCCATGTGCTCAAACTAGTACAAGAGATTATGACACAGGATACAACGATATGCACAAAAGTATCGATATTTCATGTCTATTACAGAGGCAGAGCTACATATGTGTTAACAAAAGTATTGTACAATAAACTCACAGTAAAGAAACATACCATACAGCCTCTAATAAAATCGGTTGAAATAAAAGTGCAAAAACTTATCAACAAAAATGTTCATAATATAAAAATATATATATTTAGCCACTCCCGCCCAGTCAAAAGTTTGGTCATTTTTTTCCTTTTGCATTCGTCTAAGTTACATTTTACAGCTTTACAATGACCCATAACTTATTAAAAATTACTATATTCTTTGCATTAATGCTTAAAAAGTAATATACAGTATTGAAAACACTACACCATGTTCAAATCCTACTATCAGTTTTAGGCTTACTACCCAGTTGCATATTTTAAATAAATTGCTTTTTCAATTTTTATTTCTATCTCATACAAACGGGTAATTATATAAGAGTTTTAATGGTTATTAAGTATATTTAAAAATTACTATTACTGTTTTATGTCTTCTAAAAACTAGACTTTGCTGAGAATTTTAAGTTACGCGTGATCTTAGCATTTTTTTTTATCTTCTACAAATATCCCAATATATACCTTTTTCCTGGCTTCGTCAAACAAAGATAATAAACTCTCCCTAGCACTCAAGAATGGGTTACTGGCAGCCAAGCTTCTCATGTAAAAATAAACTGCATCTAATTTCCTTCGCTGAACAGTAAAGAGAAAATTATAAAATATAAAAAGGACAAGAAAGAAGGAATAAAATAATTAAAACGATTTTTCAAAAACCACTAAACAAACAAGTGATATTTTGATATTAACTCCAATTAACATAAATGCTACCAAAAGTTACATTTAACATATAATTGATGCCCTCACTAAAAGAAAAATAAAATTGTTGAGTCCATTATGCATTCATTTGAAAAATATATTTTGAAAGTATAATACATGACATTTCAGAGTTCAAAAAAAAAAAAAAAAGTTTCACACGAATAATCCAACTTAGATAATGTCAGCATTTTCAGCTCACCGTGTAGAGGGCTAAAATAGCCAGCTGGTTGTATGGACGGCCATTTTTGGGGAATATCTGCTGAGCTTTTAGATACCAGCTAAATAAAAAACAAAAGGAGAGAGAGAGAAAAAAAAATCAATTCAATAACTTCCTATCAAATGGTTTTTGAAATATTGCTTAAAAAATATTTTTTTATAAGATAATTACAATTTCATAATGATGATATGTGATCTGTTAAAAGAATTATTTTTTTATAAAACAATACAATACTGTTAAAATTCACTTCATTCTTATGTCTAAATTAATATGTTTTCTGTTTTACAGCCCTCAAATTGAACATTACCTTTACTACTGCTATATAACTATCAAAGGCAGGATACATCCTCATAAAAACCATGTAAACGGCAGTTATTTTTTCAAACTAATCAGTTATACATTTAACTTATATTTTGACAAGTCTAACCTTTTCATGGCACCACCTTCACTGGACAACATCTAAAATATTAGATTATCATACGAATCAGAGTGCATGTTTTTTTCACATGCAATTAAACAAAAATGTGCAGTAAATCCATGAATGTACCTTTGTAATAATAAAACAAATATAATAATGCAGTAAACTTCAGAACTTCAGTCTACAAATCCAACAATAAAAGTTCGTATTGTTTATACAATCATAGCACTGTCAGTTTTGTTTCTGGATATTTGAGCAGTTAATCAGGCACTATCTGCTCTAGCCATCTCTAATTTGGAAGTCATGTTGTTGTAAAGTAAAGCAAGCAATAAAACAGAAGATCCATAGTCCAGAATGTTTGGCTCTACGGTATTTTATGTTTCATCATACATTTTTCATCAAATGATAAATTTTTAAAATACTACATCTGTATATTAATATAGTCTATATCCATTCAATTTTGACATTTTTTTTTTTATTTCAAACCATGCAGATATGGTAGAGAGTTTAGAAGTGTATAGAACAGAAAGAGTAAAGAGAAGCATCACTATCAATGAACAACTGAGATAAGGGCTGATGATTGTATATTCTTGGTAAAACAAGCAAAAAAAACCTACAATCCATTACTGACTGACACAATATCCTAAATAAGCTATTGAACAGAAATCAATTCTGCTGGCAATGACCGAACATCAAAACATCGAGACCCCCAAAACCTGTAGGTTAATGTTGCTCAAGCTCAATTAAAAAAATTAAAGACATCTTCCATTTTAGAAATGAACCATTTATGTTTACATTTTAATGTAGAGTACAAGGTTTTTTTTTCTTTTTGTTTTGAAAAACACAAGCATTATTCTTACCTCCGTGCTTTTCCATAGTTGTTGGCACCTGTAGCCTGGTCTCTGTAACGTGCAAGATCACCAAGATAGATCAGTAATTTCTGTACGCTAATCAGGATTACATTATTTGCAGCATGAAGACCGTGTCCATTCTTTACATCCTCTGATTCCATAAGTTGGTTAAGATTAAAACCAAATGTTTCTTGTTGCTTCTCCAACAAGTTTTCATAAAATACTGTACCCTAAATCACACAAATGATAATACTGAGAAAAAGAGTTACTTAAATGTATGTATATCTTATTCACTCATTTAAAGTGTAAAATATTAAAAAATGCAAATAAGATCATTAGCAAATGAAACACTTTTTAAGTTAGTTATTTTTTCTAATTTTCTGTCACTTCTTTTGTTAATTTTACAATATTCTCTTTATCATTTTTACGAATCTTTTAGTAGTTTTCTCTTAAAATCTTTTATGAATATTAGTTTTTTCTTTCTGTCCTCACAATGACCTTCCCACTGGTATATTAACCCATTTTCTGCAGCCATTTGAGTATACGAGTCAGACTTTCTTCTTCTATACACTGCAGCTGTGCTTTATGTGGGATTTCATTTTTTTAAATTTCCCACATGAATGGTAAGTGTTATAAGTGTTTCAGCACTCTCCATCTACCCGAGCATTGTTACCAAACAATGGGTCAATCATTTTTTTATCTTTTCTCCTCAATACCCCTCAGAATATTAACAAAATCCCACATATATATATATACAGCACAGCAGTGACAGTCGCAGTAAATGGGTTAAACTATGCCAGACACTTACATACTGGAACTTACCTCATCGACGAGACTAATCAGAGTCTTTTTTGTTTCTTCTCTAGTTTCCTGTTGTTCCTCCATTTGTTTACGCAACCCTTCAATCACTTGGTGGAAGGCATGTTTCCATAGCAACTGCTCAATGTTAGTTTCAGCACAATACCTTGGATCTGCCAGAATTATATTTTCGTACCGCAACTGAAGTTTCCAACTGTAGAAGGGAAACAAAAACACAGAAATTTCAGAAACATCTAAACATTACATACCATGTGAGAGAAAACGTGTTGCAGGCACGTCGTCACCTTTCCCATGTGCCAGTATATTTTGATTAGTAAATCAACCCCAGTTTTTTTTCTTTCTAAATTTAATCTTTCTTTTAATTCACTTGGCTTAAAGATGACGTTACGATGTACCGTGTCCAAACTAACCTTGGTTCTCAAAGTGTCTCTTGAGAAATATTTTCCTCTGTGACAGAGAATCTAAAACAGTGGGGCAAGTAGTTGTACTACACAAGCTCAAATCTTTCAATAAACTACATAGCAACCGCCACAGATAACTATTGTATTCATTATATGAAATCAAACTTCGGTTAAATGCATTTCCATAAATATCTTACCAAATATTACCCGAGCTATCGAATTAGCAATGCCACAAATCATCACTTCATATGTTGTGCCTATCTTTGCGCACGTCTCAGGAGAAAGGGGTCAAATTACACATTTGGTAAAATGAGGCTTCATCCAAAAAAAACTGACCTCCTGCCCCAGGTAAAGAAGTTTTTAAAATATAATCTTTATTTTCTTTAACTCATCTTTAGGGTTCCCTCTGGTGTGAATATCTTTCTGCCATCCCTTCCACCAATGATTGTTTCATATTTTTTTGAATCATGAATTTTTAAGTCAATCTAACTCTATTTCAAAAATTATTAACTCAAAAAAGATTTAAAATTCTATATTTTACCATTTTAACATTTACTTAGTACAACTGATGAAAAACAAATTTTCATTTCTTTGCAGCTCCAAAAAGTCTCACCTGTAGGCAATACACTTGTAGAATTTTTTTTTTTATCATTCCCCAAAAAATAGCAATAAATTTGCTAAGAAAATATATATTTTTTTATTTCCAAACATTTCCCGTCTTTTTCTGCTTAGCTTTATGTACGTGCTTTGGTTTCCACTTTTTTTATGGTGTCATCAAGTGGTTTGAGCATTAATTTATGCTTTTATTATAAAGTTGCTAGTCAGATCTCCTGTAGAATTGATCAAAGACATTCAACAGGAAGCTCTGCAAACATAGAAATAACCCCCAAAGATACAGGAAAATTTGATGGTTTCTGTAGATATTCTTCTCACTTGTTAAAGTGTTTTATGTGTTAATTTATATCTTTTTTAAAAGCTACAGAAATTTTCTTCGTTGAGAAGACATCATATAAGCTTAGTTGAGTTTAATAGGTAGGCAATAGTAAAATACTCTAACTCAAATCCTTATCTATTTAGTAATATCTTTATGTTTATCGTATTCAAACAAAATACATGAAAAAAGGTTAATTATTTCTAATTACAGTCACAACTTGTTTTAAATAAAAACATTACTACTGTTACCTGTTACAGTAAAACATGATTTTAATACTTTTGATTTACACAGTATTAATGGGGATTACTATATATTTCAAAAACAAACAAAATGTAATTGTGTGGTCATTTCCCTCTCAGAAAATTTGCCAGGTAGGAAATGTTAAAATTATATTTGAAAATATTTTTGCCAAAATTGTTGGTAATTTTTCTTTTCACAAAATGTGCAAATGCTGACCAACAGTAGGAACACTGCTGGTATTAATTAATATTCTACAAAGAGGATTCAGATGACAAACAAACATGTCAATGTGACAACTCACCGGCACTGTCCAAGTAACTTGAAATCAACATTTTCCAATCCTCTAGCCATGTATGATGCCAGTTCCCTTTCTAATAGAGCAGCATCTTGAAGATTTTTCTCCACTAAAGGTTTTAATCTACAAAAAAAAATAATAATTAATAGTTAATTCCAAGTAAATGTAAACAACCTTTCATTTCAACAACAGGAAGAGAAAAGAATGAAAATTTCTTAGGATTATTAATGTCATAGTATGGATTATTAATGTTATAGTATGGATTATTAATGTCATAGTATGGATTATTAATGTCATGGTATGGATTATTAATGTTATAGTATGGATTATTAATGTCATAGTATGGATTATTAATGTCATAGTATGGATTATTAATGTCATAGTATGGATTATTAATGTTATAGTACAGATTATTAATGTCATAGTATGGATTATTAATGTTATAGTACAGATTATTAATGTCATAGTATGGATTATTTTCCTGTTACAAACTTGAAAAATAATTTTTTGACATTTCGCAATAATAAAAAATTTCAAATAGATAAATGCTTTTACATAAATAAATAGTTTTTCATAGACTTTTAATATGGAACTAAGCTATTCTTCTGTTATCTCTTGACAACTGCTTCTAACATTGTTCATTATACACAAAATGTACAGCCTTCTAATAGAACTGAGCAATTAACTTGATTAATCAATTAATTACGAGCATAGACTACACTGATTAATGTTATATAAAATAAAAGATTTATCAAAATTATAATTAAATTGATTAGTTTCATGAAAACACTCAACTAAGTGAAATTAGTGTTTTTAATTATTACTGTAGGTCTTAAGCATCACTTGGCTAAAAAAAAAGGGATTAGGGCTAAGGGAATTGTTACAGTTTTCAATAACTTAACAATCCCAGTAATTGAAATTATAATTTCTCATTGTTATTTTTAATTAATCAAGGTTGTTTGGATCAGTTGATTCATGTTACAACTCGCAAAAATAATCAATTAATCAAAACTAGTGTTTTTGATGATTGTTATTTTCAACTGTTCCATCTATCCAAGTTTCACGAGAACAATTTATCAGTTGAATATAATTAGTTAGTGAGTACAAGAATTAATCGATTAACAAATTCCACTAATTGCTCCATCTTCAAACACTTCACTAGCAGCAATAAAACCAATGAAGAGAAAACAAAAAAAACTAAACACAGACAAAACTTTAGAGGCAGTCAAGATGAGAGCACTTGAAAAGCACAAAAATCTTTAAGAATAGAAAGGCTACATATCACAGCTGCACAGAAGTCACATGCAATGTATGCCAAAACATTCAGCATAGACAAGGATCATCATCAAAAACAAAACATTATTTTTGTAAAAAGAGAACATTCCAAGTTTGAATAAGCAACAGGCCTTATCAAATAGTATTACGTACCAGGTAATACCTAGTATTAGGGTGATCATCTCCAATTTTAAACATCATGACACTTAATCTTTATCGTACTATATCCATCGCTTTTTTTTAAAGCTGGTTGGAAACGTATTGTATTTTATAATAATTTAGCATATTTAAAATATAATAAAGGAGTCAAATAAATGAAACATCTTTATGATACAATGATGTCATCTCTGTTGGTACTACTACTGTAGTACTGTTTCTTACTAGAGAAACTATATTTAACATGACAGACTTAGTTTACAAAGCTCCAACATCTGTTAAACCAAATTTATCTTAAAACACTGTTGCTTTATTTATTAATGTACGTATGGATTATACTAGATGCACTTCCACAGGGTCCGCAAAAGTGTTCTATTTCAAGAGTAAATACAACCAAGATTAAAAGTAACAAATATTTTTATTTCTTGCTTTTGAAGTTCGTGTGTCATGCTGTGTTGTAGCCTGAGAATGCATAATTCTTCTTGTGATACATGGCATGCGCACGTGTTACTGATGTACAATGTTTAGCATTCCTTATGTGATGTAATTTTAATGACTACTGACTGACCGACAGACAACACATTACTGTATAGTGGTTAAAACAGGTAACCCCTCCAGGCAGCCTTTGGCTCCCTTTCATGGAAACAATACGTATTTTAAATAATAAAGAGAAATAAAGTTGGTTTTATTTGATATGAAGCAAGGTGTATGTCCTCCCACCCACTCCCAGAAATTAGCAATGAGTAAACAATCGAAGGCTAAGTGTTTGTGCCCTGAAGATTTTGATGATTCTGTAAACCTGCATGGCTGTATATACATACATTTATGTTCCAATATTTAAAAAAAAAATTCTAAAAGTGTGATTTATTTACTTACTGAAAATCACTGCACACTGGTCTTTCAAATTTCTTAAAGGTTTGGAGTCTGTACCCCAAAGATTTTGGACATTCTACTACCCTGCCACAGATACGAGTTCAGAACCATGGAGAGAGAAAGAAAAAGATGAGTTTAGTGCATTTGGAAAGTGACCACTCAACCAGACTTTTGAGAAAAGCAACCAAGCCTTTAACTAAGAAAGGAGTTTACGTGTATACAAAAAAAAAAAAAAAAGGACAGCTGAATTGTCCAGTTTCTGTAAACAGGTTGAGTATATGATTGGAGATAGTAAGACCTTTTAAATGGAGAAATGGAAGTTTTTCTTTCTAAGTCTTCAAATTTCAAATATTTTTTTATCTTTATCTTGGTTAGTTTGGGCTAAGAGTGAGATTTCTGATGCTCTTGTTTCTAAATTTGTAACTGATCTCTCTTATTTTTTAGCTTTGGACCATGAGTTTTTCTTTACAGCCTCTACGAATGAACTGGTTCAGCTCCTGCCTCGTGATATCCGTGTTTTGTTATACATCTTTCCCCATCCACGTCTCCTATGATCTAGGTTTAGATAATCTAATAGTAAACCTCTCATGTTTATTTGCTCTCCACTAAATGTTCAGGTCTAGAGTGTTAAAGAGCTGGAATTTGTTGCTTTTTTTATTACATTTAGGGACTTTCTTGTGTTTTTGCATTGACACCTCTATTCATCTCAGTTTACAGTTTAGGTAGTTTTCCAGTAGCTGCATTGTTCTTTGTGTGAATCAGTTACAAATTCAAAAACAAGAAAAATCTCTTCCTTAGCCCAAACTAACCAAAGATACAAATATTTGAAATCTGAACAAACAGTTAGTAAAACTTCCAAGTCCCTATTTAAAAAAAAATATATATTTGCAAGTATAGGAAAACAGAGAAGTAAAAATAAGAAGTTTGACCAACAATAAACTGGTCTTGAATCACATCAGAAAAGTGTAATGTTTACTATGGATGATAGAAAATAATGCATGAAGACTAGAAACAGATGTCAGTTTTAGAAGAAACAGAACACATGCCTTACATATCACAAACAAAGAATTTGTGATTAGAAAATAACCTAAGAGAAAAATAAAGTTAAACACATTATGAATCCACAAAAGTTAAAATTAGAAAACAGCAGTGGACAGAGAATTGTTATATATTATGTTTAATGGAAGTATAGTACTGCCCAAGATGTACTGACTAAAGAATGTACAACCATGAAAGTGCTGCAAAGAGTATAAGGAAACCTACATGTCAACAAGGTACTGGCTGGAGAAGCTTCTTAATTCATAAATGTAGAATGAAGGCCATCAAAAAACATCAAATAAGAAATACCAAAAACAAGAACCATTTTATTTTTAACTAAATGCTAACTTTTATGCGATATGTGTTTGAATTAATTTTTCCAACGCTATAGATGGTACAATATTCCAGTTTTTTTGCTAAATGGTTCTCTTAAACATACATATAAACTGCAAACAAAGCACTGCAATAAGCTGTAATTTTTCTTCAACTGGTGCAAGAGAAAACAAGAAAAGATGAATTCCACTATATCACAAAGACGTAACGTAAAATGTAAAAATTAATTTTTTTCTGATAAAAAATTTCCCTATACCCAGCATGATAAATCTGAAACTCATTTTGATCTTTTGCTTATATAATATAGATAAATAAGTACAGATAGACGGTCAAAAATATAAAGAGGTATAAAAGTTAATTAGATTTACCATATTGCTGATCCAGTGTCAACAATTAGTTAAAAAAAAAGAGACTGTATGAAAGCATTATGCACGCTAAGGTTTAAAAACATATTTGAAAAGTAAAAAATAAATAAAATACAAACTTTATGTAATGTTATAAGTTTAACCAAACATGGCAGTATAAAAATAATATTATTATTCTCAAATACATAGTACTACAGTTTAAAAATGTATATTTGGAACCAAGTACATAATTTGAAGACCTTTACTGGAAACCATTATAGGCTAGTTTACCTTCTATGACTATCTTGCATGAAAGACTGTTCCACTATTGCTGGAAACCCAGCTGGTGACGAAGCTTGTGGATAAGTATTCATGGCTGTAAATCCATAGGGGCCTGGAGGATGATGTACTAAAGGAAGATGTTGTGCCGAAGAACTGACTTGACAGAATGGGGTAGGAAAAGGTACATTTGAAAATGGTACTGTTTGTGGCACAGGGTCCATCAAGTTTTCCATCACACCAACAAATGGGATAGCCTGTGGCTGGGGTTTGATGACAATCACAGGTTTATTAGGATTGTTTGGATTAAAAAGGTGTTTCTGGACAACTGGAGTAGGTTCACCATCACTAGGATGATTTTCCAAAGTGCAAGGATACGGAGAAGGCATAGAAGGAGGAGAAGGGGGTGAATTTGGAAGTTTAATGATCCCACCACCCCTGACTTCATGATTATCAGTATAATGAGTTCTCTGTTTTGAAGCCTCCCTCATCTTCTGAAAACGCGGTGGAAGATTGGACAGAAAATCACTGTCATGATGTAATCTTTTCTCCTCTTTTATATGACTACTTGTAATTTCACGAGTACGGTGATGATGATGATGCTTCCTGCTCTGTCTATTACTTTCATCTCCAGGCGTATGATGATGAGTATTCAGTTCATTTCTTGACACTATCTCTTTCTTAAAGTTACCTTCCTGATTTATGATTCCTACTATCTGAATTTTGTGCTTTGACTGATCTTTATCATGAATTCTGTGATATTCCTCTACTGCTTCACTCCAGTTCTCACTATAGCAAAACTCGTCATCTAAGCTATTATTTAATTTTTCTTTAACATTTTCTCCATCATAACATGATTTTGAGTTTAGAGGTTCTACTCGATTAGATGTCCGTTCTTCAGTTTGTATATGGTGAAAGTCATGTGCCTTGTCCAAGTCACTAGTGTGACGAATATCTTCTTGGCTATATGCCCTCGTGGGAGCAATTATTTTTTCTAGAGGAATCGATTCAGCATCCCAATCTTCTAATTCAATTTCTTGAACACTCAATGCAGATGCCCTGCCACCAGAACTAATGTGTTTCAGTCTTTCCGGAGACTTTCTGTTTTTAAACTGAGCACGCTCAGGTGACTTCACTAATTTCTGAGAACTTCCACTATATCTTCTGTGATGGTTTTTCAAACTTCTCTGGAACTTTTTATCATCATTGTAACTTTCCCCTTTGTTTTCAACACCAGAATGATATAGAAAATTCTTATCTGGTGGTTCTTTTGGCTGTTTTTGACTTGAAGATCTTGTATCTCCATTGGTTACTTTTTGAATTCCTGTTGGTGGTTTTGACAAACTGACATTCACGTGTCTCTCTTCAACAATTGATTCATTTTCCCAGTTTTCTAAGCTATAGTCCTCTTTTGTATGTTTCTGCAAACTTTTGCTAGGTAACAAATAGTCTGAAGAGCTATCTTTCAAACTGCTGCCACTAATAGTTCTACCACGTCTGTGTCCCTGTTTTAGGGAATGTCGCTGAGTTGGAGATTTACTTTGTCTTACTTTCTCCATGTCAGACATTTTTATATCTGATCCTTTAAGAAAACTTTCTTTTTTCTGTGTTTTATTTTCCATATTTGTTACAACTTCCTTTTCTTTAACCTTCTCACCTCCTTCTTGTAAAGCTGCAACTCTTGCCCTTGGAACATAGACCTGTTGATCAGGACGTCTTGACCTTCCTTTTTTTGAATCCACATCTTCAGGAGTATGCTTTTTTGATGCAATAGAATCATGCAAACTTAAATCTGTTACTCTTCTTTCCAGTTGTCCAGACTGACCTTTATCATCAATACAAGAGGTTGGACTTGGCGTAGAGACATATCTTGAACCACTTGAGGACCCTCCATCAACTGGGCTGCTGGTTCTATTCTCACCATTTTTGTTTCCATGTTTTCCACGAAGTCCCATACCAGGCCTGTAGATCTGCATTTCTGGGCGTTTCACCTCCTTTTTTACCTGTTTTCCTTTATCCTCAATGCTTTCCTTTCCCACACTGGTTATGTAATTCATATTTTGAAAGAAACTGAAACAGATGAAAAGCTTAATTCAAATATCAAAACCATTACACGTAATAAATAATTTTACCCCTTACATTTAATGTGTGCATTTGTATAATAATGTTTTTATTGTCTTTAAATTTTTACATGTTCTACAGTAATTCCTGTATGCTGAACCCAAAAATGATATCCATTTTTTTTCTTCACATACAGATTTTATACAAAACATCATAATACAATACATAAAAGAAAGAACATAACACGTAGTTTAGAGAGTAAAAGATGTAGATTTCACAAAACAAATCAGGATGAATGATGATGCATATTCGTTTGACATCAATGTTCTTCCTTTTTCTTCAGTTTCTTTGTATTTTTGTTAACAAACATAATAATAAAAAAATGTTCGGTGTGGTAAACAAAATAATAATTTGATCCAAGTAATAATTTTTTTTTCCCAATTTGTAAAAAATCCTTACATGATAGAAAAAAATGAATATTATTTTTGCAATCTGCGTAGATGAATTATAGAATATCCATTACTAAAACCAAAACAACTTTTATGAAGTTTAAATTTGCATGCCTATGTAATTAAATGATCTGTGTAATATGCAATAGCATGAGTGCAGTCACAGATAAAATAATTCTTAAGTTTGATTATCACTAGATGCTTCCCACTTTACAAGTTGTGATCAGTATCACAACTTGGAAAGTACAAAACATGATATTCACCGCGGTGGCCATGAAAATCTATAAAACTACCAAGTTTATTTTTTCTCTTGTAGATTACTACATCATTATAATCTATATTTGTATGTGAGAATTAAATAACACAGATTATGTCATGATGAATTTGATATTTGACCCACTAGAAGCACTCTCAGCAAGATGTTAAATATCATAACTACTACACCTTGAACGGCAGTGCCCCAGCCATTATTTAAATTAATCTTTTTGAATAACCTCTGCTGCATCTCACTGACGTGAAACACAATACAGAAATACTCAGACACTTATTGGCATCCACACGCATTGCAGATCTGCCAAAGTGTAAGATGATAAAAAAAAATGCTACAAAAATTTCAACATTTTCAGACTACAACATTTTATACAATACAGCTACTATAATAAGTATACAACCAATAAATGTATATAATGGTTATACTTATGCAAGTTACAATGTAATTTCAATGGCTATATCTATTCCATTAGAACTGTGCATGTACAATCACGTATTTTTGGACTATTTTATGTTATTCTTTGCATACAAGTTCAGTTTTTAAAACTCACATACACTCAATTTCTCTACCTATTTTTACAAAACTCAAGATCTTTTCTTACAACCTCATACAATTTAGTAAAATTATAAACAGACTATCTCTATTTTACTCTCTGCTTATTTTAGTAAGCCATTTGAGTTTTTATGGTAATTCTGATTGAAATCAGTTGAATTAAAGAAACCTGAACACAGTTGATAGATACAACCAGCCTTCTAGATTTATAAAATATTTATAAACATTTAGACATCTTTATGTCTAATCAAGTTTCAAAATGAATAAATCACAAGTTAGTTTCTTTGAGTACTCAAGGAAGTATCAATAAGACTACTTTAGAAAGCACAAGTATTATACAGACCTAATTATCAGTTATAAGATAATGCTAACACTAAATAATATATAAATAAAATTATTCAACCTTTGTGAAGCAGATATTTTGTAGCATGATAAATAAAATGTTGAAAAAACTTAATGTTCCAAGGGAATTGGCATGATATTACAATAAAATATGTTTAAGAAACATAAACAATGTTTGTGAAACAAACTGTTTAGTACAATGACAAACAATTAAAAAAATAAACATAACCTAGACATGTTGAAAGAATAAATACTTGGTCTTCTGTCAAGTAATACTTTCTATTACACAAGAGTATCAGTCTTCAATATATGTTCAGTGTGTTTTTAGATTCTGTTTTCATTATTAAACACAGTATCAACATTTACCAGTACATGTCAAGACAAGTTGCAAGAAACAGCCAGCAAAAATTAAAATTACAACTACATATTGTATATGCATAGAAACTGGGGTATAATTTCAAACTGAGCAATAATCCAATTTCAATAACGACAAAAGTTTCACAAAAAAATTTACTAATCAAAATAACAAAATCCTAGAAATTTTGTCTGCATTCTCTAGATCTGACTTACAGTTTGCCTATTATTATTTCCAAGTTCTGTACAACACAACCTATTCTAACAGTAAATGACTTAAATGAGCTTTATATTTCAGCCATTACTTCAATGTCAAATAAGCTTTTATGAAGAAATATAAAACAGCAAACTGGCTAACACTCAAGTGTAAAAATCACAAGTGGTACTTTATTCATTTCCATTGCTGATCTACATAACTACCGAATGTGAAGCTACAGTACAAAAAATGATAAATAAGTTTAAAGAGCATTCTACTGTTCTTAATGAGGGAGAAGAAAATCTATCATTTTGATTTCTTCTCAAGTTAATATAATATGAAGACTTACTTGTAAACTTTTGTTAGGCTATTTGAAGATTTTGATCAATGAAATTTCTCTATGCAGGTTTCTCATTAAAAATATAATTTAAAATACCAAGTCTTGCACTGTTAATCATGATTCACTGACCCAAAACTAAAAGAAAAGCATTATCTCAACAATACATTAAATGATGCTATAACTTTCATTATTCAACCTTCACGTCAAATGTTCAAAATTATACCCCAGTAAAAATAAACTAATTATACATTAGCCAGTTTACCAACCCTCTATAGATCATAATCTGTACTTCCTCATATAAAAATAAGAAATATAATATTGTATTTCTTTGTAATGGTTTCAAATTCTACTTTAATAACTTTAAATTTTAACTTATCAAGTTCTAAGATACAAAAACAAATAATATTCATTTAAATTTAGAAATTAGGTTATGATTATAGACTGACGAGTATTATCATTCTTATTGTCAACTAAATTATATTACTCGTTTAATGTTAATTATAAAGTATTGATAACCATCAGCTTCTACGATTTTAAGTCTCATTTTAGTTTATCATGTACACACATCCTTGTGGTTAAGCCTAGACTTAGACAAAGCGCCTTTCTAATACTTTCTCGTAGTTTAAAATTAGTGAACTTAAAAGTTAAGCCTACACAAACCACTGACATTTAAACTACAAGTAAACTTTAATACAAATTTACTAGGAATAAGCATTTCCTCTTCTTGAGTTATTATAAATGATAGAAACTACTAATTTATGCTGCCAATAAAATATAAATATGTTGTTATCATACCTGATTCCTTCTTTTAAACTTGATAACAAATAATTACTTTTTTTTTCAAACAATCAACTACAATATTCTCTTGTTCGATGCTTGAAACCTGTTGCTGAAAGGTCACCTAGTGGAAGTGTAAAAAATAACTTTTTTCTTTTTTGTTGTATTATATTCAACAGTCAAAGGCTAAAGACAATATCAATAAACTTATTAAGCTGTTCTGAATATATATAACTTATGTGAAACTACAATGTAATAATAGAATAAAGCAATTATTAAATGTTGTTCGCGTGTAGTTTTTTCTTGGGTCCATAATTTGCAAGCAAGCCCACAAAGTAATCAATTTCTTTGTATAAGTATTTGTAGAAATTTAGCAAATATTTATCCTATAATGGCGATATTCTCCCTTCCCAACAAAAATCAGATTCAATAAATCAAAAGAAATTTTGGCTTACTAATACGTTGGTGGTTGTCAAGCTTGAACTAAACTTTTGTAGCTTTGGACTGCTTAAATTAAATACAGTCTTGGAAGCCGACGTTCATGCACAATGGGGAGTCTACGAAAAATTTATCATGAAGTATAATTTAAGATAAACCAGGGTTTGTGTTTTTCAGAAGTTTGTTAGAATAAAAATGGCGCTGTTTGGTATTAGTGCATAATCACGGTTATAAGACTAGGCACGAACAAAAATGGAAGAATAGCTCCAAAGTCATCACAGAGTTCTTATAAATAAAGTGCAATCAACACACACATTGTAACACCTTTTAGGTATGAACAAATAAGTTCATCAAGTATAAATATTATTTATATACTGTGTTTTTTTCTTCTTGTCTCAAATGCTAAACATTCACTCGAATTGGTTAATTTGAAACATTTGTCAAATATACATACTAATATTTTTCGGGAGCAATGTTCCCCAGTGTGAGAGCGGTTAGTCTACGAACTTATAACGCTAAAATCCGGCATTCAACTCCTCGCGGTGGACACAGCAGACTTTGCTCTAAAAAACAGTTCTGGGGAAATTTTTACAAAATTAAGAATGCAAGTTTCATTTTAAATGCACGCATTATTGCCAAAACAAATTCTGGTGTGTTTTTATATAAACATGTGTATGATTAATGATTATCTATCATGCTATGCCACCTAGGTTACACCATAAATGCACAATAACAAGTAAAAGTGCCCCCTCCCCAGCGGCACAGCGGAATGTCTGCGGACTTACAACGCTAGAAACCGGGTTTCAACATCCGTGGTGGGCAGAGCACAGATAGTCCATTGTGGAGCTTTGTGCTTAACTACAAACAATCAATTAACAACAAATAAAAGTAAATATAAATACGTGTTGCTTTCAAGTAATTTTGCATTTATGACATATTCTTTTCCCGTAATACCTCTACACAGGTCCAGTCCTGGAAAAATTAATGTTCTGGCAAAATTTTGATCCCTGAAGTGCCGAATTAAAATTTTATTCCTGAATATTTTTTACTATTCCAATAGTGTTGCCAATTTAAATGCTAAATTAAACCAATGTTTACAATTTAATTTTATTGAAGAAGCACAGCATGAATACTGAATGTGTCCAACTTCTTCAATTTTTTCACTGCAAAGCTCGGCGACTTATCTTTATTTCCCAGACTTTAATCGTATTATATTTAAAAAAACAAAAATTTCCAAAAATATATAACTAATAAATAATGTACACTGATACACTACACACTTGTCTTATAATTTTTCGAATTGTAAACATGTTTGAATAATTTTAAGCTCACTCCTAACGAGGATAGATTTCCCTGACGAAAGCACTTGAGCTATTAGGTATTTGTTTTAGACGTCGCTTCTTAAATTTGTTTAATTTCAATCTAAAAATTGCAGTCACAAGGAGATTACAAAGGTTGAAGTATAATTTTGTTAGATTTTTTGTTTATGAATTTCTGCATAATTTATACAAGTTTTATTTAAATTAATTGTATATTATTCTCGAAATTTGTATAGGGAAAGTAAACTTAGTCACATTTATTGAAAAGTATGAGGATTGGAAATTAATATATATATTATTATCAACCCAGTCACTCCGACTGGAGTGTGCAGACGTATTGTGACTGTTACTCTTATAAAGTTATTGTTACGTTTAACTCTCACCACTTGTTCTAGAATTTCTAGTCCTACGTGTACTTAAGTTAGTCAATATCTTAATAGTATTGATATAATGTAACTTTTTTTTTATTAGACCACTGTTACACGTACAAGTTACAGTGTCAGTACGACTAAGTGTATTGCCATAGTTCAGTTACTAATTGTGTAACTTTTAAGTTAATTATGTCATAATGGCCTTGAGCCAATAGCTAAACAGAGTTCTGTGTTTTACTTTTAGCAATTTCTGTTTTATTTTTAATTATGATTTTGTTTATCATTATGTAGTACTACTAGTAGTATTACTTCTTCTGTCATTTGATTTAACTATATTTGTATTTGCCATAAAGTTAAATGCTAGTTCTCATACTTCCTAATGTATATTAAACATTGTTTTTTTCTGTTTCTAGGAGCTACTGGATATACGAAAGTCATCAATGAAGTCATTCAGAAACATCCAAGTATATGTAACCAACATATTAATGTTGCAGGGCCTGATACTGTCTGTAAAAAATCATTTTATTTGATTAAAACAAGTATTTTTTGTTTGTTATATTCATACAAATAAATCTTGCATCCTTCTAGGAAATTCTAATTTATATATTTGTTATCTTCTCATATTTAAACTGTGAATGGATTTGTTTCTTCATAGTAGTGATATTGTACTTAGTTACATGTATAAATATATATTGTTAAGACAGCGGAAGTCACGTGACGCTGGTAACACGTGATGGGATTTTTGAGGGATCACGAGTTTTCTTGGCAACTCTGGTTTGTTCAGGCCACCCTCTTTTTTTTGGTAGATAGATGAGAAATAGAGAGATAGATTGAAGATAGAGATAATTAAGTCAAGCGAACAGTAGGCACTGTAAGTAAAGTGTGTGAATCACTGTGATTTATAGAGTGTGTTATAAAGGTTGTTAAATTTAAAGTGACTGTGGAAATTCTGTATACTAAAAGGTTCTATCAAGAAAGAATAAACTAGTTTTAATTAAGAAAGGACTTGTCTCGCTGTAGTTCCTCGGAAAGAATTTATACCATAAATTAAGGAAATTATCAAATGAGCAGAGACGTAACAATATATATATAAATACACACACATAATGCTTATTTTGCCACAAGTTTAGTGTTTTTTTTTAAATTCATACATACATCTGTTGTTAGTCCAATGGCTGTTTTCTATACAGCAAGATTGTTCATATTAAAATTAAAACTATTTTCATCACTTTTTCTCTAAAAACAAGTATACTGCCTTGTTACTCCTATAAAGCAGTCTAATATTAGCATATAACATAACATAATGTTTTGGGATCTGTTGGTCCATCTCGGCTGTTCTATCCTCTAAACTAAACTAAAATATATTTTTTTAAATCTTAGTCAGCCATTATTATTCATATACTTTTCAAGCTTTTTCTTAAACTCACTTAAATTTACTGCCTCTACAAGATCGGAAGGCATCTCACTCCAGAGGCCAACCACCCTGTTAGAAAAATTAAACTGTCTTAGCTGAAGATGACTCCTACCCTGCCCAAATTTATATGTGTCCCCTAATCCTACTATTCTCACTGTAAAATATGAAAAAAGATGATGCATATTACTGTAAATTCCTTTACAATCTTAAACACCTAATAAGATCCCCTTAACTCTTCTTTTTTCAAAAGAAAACAATTTGAGAGATTTCAGCCACTCCTCATATGATGATCAGAAAGGATTAGCCTAGAGATAGGCTTTAAATATTTTGTGATGCGCATTAAGGTGATGCACATTTTTACCCATTTGCTTTGAATTACATGGAATGGACATTATTTCTATTTGTGAAATCATTTAGATGAAGCCTAAATTGGACAGAGATAGACATGATGTGCTTAAAGTTGGGAGAAATATGTATGCAAAAAAAGTTATTAAAATTGTTTTCAACAATTAAGGACTTTTTTGTTACAATTTCTCCATATTACAAACATGTTAAATTCACAGATTTCCAAAATTCTTTTCAGTCTCATGAGTTTTGTTATATAAATCTTGTAAGTTTGGTTGTTATTTTGTCATTGTTCTAAAAATCTAGTCAGATTTACAGATCTTATGAAGTATGAAATTCATTTTATAGTATTCATGTTTAGCATATATTGCTAAGTCCAAAAGTTTGATATTAAAAATTTTACAAGTGTTTTATTTCAGTTAAAGTTTGACACAGTAAGTCATCTTTGTACTTATGTTCAAGTCAGGGATTATTTTCAGAATATTTCTTAAAATTGAAAAAAAAACTACAACCAACTTTTGTGTAACGATCATTTTTCCTTTATTAGTCACATATGACTGAAAAGATGGTTGTCACAATGCATACAAATTGCATCATTTAACTTTAGAATTGAAAATAAAATATAGTAGTATAGGAAGAGGTTCTTGCACAAACATTCATTGGATGCCCTATCTGCTTTTCTAAAAGGCTCAGTTTGCAATGTATTCATCAGTAACTTGTCCTGGTGAAACTTATTTGTGTAGATATCACCTAAATATGTCATGAAATGATCAGTTAGTATGTTAAATTGTGTATAATTTTGATCATTGAAACAGTTAAAGTGGCACAAATCCAATGTTTACTGACCTGAATAATGTGTCTTAAGTAAATAAAAATAATTAACTAAATTGCTGAACACTTTGTGGTGAAGTGAACGTTTACAACCATGTTTTAACAGTGTGATAGAAATTTGTATATATTTGTCATATATTTATTATTATAATAAAAAATCATACACGTAACAGATTTTACATTTATAACCTTCAGTGTTTTAAGTGTAAATGTCATATATTTATTATTATAATAAAAAATCATACACGTAACAGATTTTACATTTATAACCTTCAGTGTTTTAAGTGTAAATGTCATATATTTATTATTATAATAAAAAATCATACACGTTCGCCAACTTTCACAATAATACAGATACAAAATCTAATCAATTTAGGTTTTAGTTAGGATTCTGTCATATTGAATGAAGAGTTTGTTAATTAGTGGAATTTTCTAACTGATGAATCATTGGGCTTATTAATTGATTACATTCAACAAGTCTATTATTCTCATGTGACACTGGGATAATTGGAATAATCAAGAATCGCAATGAAAGAAAACACTAATTTTGATTAGTTTATTGTTTTTGTGAGTCCTTACACTAATCGATTAAGGTGAACAGACTTCAAATACAAATAATAGTGAGAAATCATAATGGCAATATTTTGATTACCTTGACAGTTGGTATAATTAAAAACATTAATTATATGATTATTTTTATGAGACTAATTGAGTTTAATTGATTATATTAGTCAAGTTAATTCCCCAGCTCTAATTGAATGCTTATAAAATTTTATCATCAGAAAACAAAATTACATGGAAATAAAAGATTCATCACTCTGTTTAGTCTTGTAACAGTTTCTTTTTCTCAACCTGCAGGATAATCCCCCCCATACAATAAATGAGCATTTCGTAAAGAAATTAGCTTTCCTGCGGAATACCCATTTAAATCTCCAAAAATTACATTTCTTAGAAAAATCTACCACCCAAATATTGATGAAAAAGGCCAAGTGTGTCTGCCTATCATCAGTGCTGAACACTGGAAGCCAACAACAAAAACTGATCAAGGTAAAGGGGAAAAAATTGATGTATGAATATATTCAGAAAGATATATCTTTTAACTACTTCCCTATTGGTTCGAGATAATGCTTTGTTGTTTTTAAATGTATTCTTATTCTAAAATAAATACCGAAACAAAAAAACTACATGCTTCTTATAAGTTACATTGAAAGATTGAGTGTTTCGCTGTGTAAATTAGAAATTTATAAATGTGAAACATTTTAAATATTACTCGTGTAATAAATACAGCTTACTGAAAAATTTTCTGAAAAAAAAAAAAGCTTTTTTATTAACAAATCATTGAATGTTAATTTTCCTTAAGTCAGTCTATATGTGTTTATATAATAATTGGTATAGAGTTTATAATAACATGTAAAACAAAGCACAGTTTCTCCAGAAATAGTGTTACGTTACAATGTTATGAATTTTCAACAATTACATTTCTCTCTCTCGGTTCAACACAAACTTTTTTATTGTGCTTTTCAATCTCAGTGGTTCAAGTTTTGTTCGCATGAAGAGTATCACCTTTGTCTAATGCTGTGATGTAATCAATGTTTTTATGATTGAACTTATGCATAATCCTGTGTTATAATGAAAATTATAATTTTTGGAATTAATATTTTGTGATCGTGTCTAAAGGTTGTGATAAAATGAAGAGTAAGTTGAAAATCGATACTTTATATAGATAATAATATATACGTTCTGCTTAACATTTCTATATTTTCCAACCAGTTAACTTTAGTTATCTTACGACAAAGTTCTAATGATACAAAAATACTAATTTTTGTTTAAAAAAAAAAGTTATATGTCATCAAAAATGTAATATACCTTACGTTTGAATTAAAACATTACCACAGTTCAGGGCAAAGTATCCATTTCAAACATGTGCCCTTCAATTTTTAACTAACTGATGATGCCTTTTAAACGTGAATACAAGTGAAAACTGTGTGTTATAACTGCTATAGAGCACCGATCATTTCAGACTTAAGAATCCAGTTCGTGTCTGTTAGACTAGAAAGATGTAGGTGGATGTGTTGTCGAAGGTCTGGACTTTCCCCTTCTGTTAAGAGATTATGATTGAGTAACATGTGAATAAAATGATTTTAATACTCATGTAGAATATGTGTAAATAAACAAGCTATTTAATGCAAAACGGTATTCAGTTACATACAGTTGATATGATCACTTCTGTTTCATTGTAGTTAATTTTAATAATATTTATAAGACAGATTATTATGTTTACAGCTAAACATGGTCAGCATTTTGTGTTGTACAAACCAGTTTGAAGATTTTTGTCAACCTATAGTCAGTTACTTTTAAAAGTGTCAGGGGGGATGCATCTTTTAGACTCTTACAAATGTGTGTAAAAGACTTTAGTGTTTGAAATGGTAACTGCATACATTTGATTAGTGTATTAAATAGTCATTATGGGAAATCTGTGACGTTTCATAGATTCCCCATGAGCCTACACCTCATGAGGCAACTTAAAATCCCCCCCCTTTTAACATGTATTTTATTGCTCATATTAAATAAAGATTTACTACATACTGTAATATAATGCCAATTTTCAAATATTTTGAAACAGTTGTAAAGGAGAAAATCGTTTTGAGTTACTGTACTATTAAATTCTGCCCAAAATAATGTACTACCTAACCCCCCCTAAAAAACAACAACAAAGGTTTTCATATATTATCCATCACTTAATATAAAAATTACCTGTAAAACATCTGTTTATTACGAGTAAGATTTACAATGCATCTTTTTTATATTTATATGCGTTTACTCGACGTAATCAATGCCTGTTACATTGATGGTATATAAAACTATAAAGGACAAGTAAAATCTATACTCTTTTCAAAGTAAACATGTGTAAATTAACATGAAAAGTTCTAACGATCCTTTGACAGACAAACATACGCAACTGGAAGTAAACATTTTCTTATGAGCATTTAATTGGACACGAAGACATAAATAAACGTGAACAGTTTTTAAGAAAACTCATTAAATGCTTTTATATTACGAATTAAACAAAACCGTTGAAATCAAAGATCATATGAAGATGCAGCATACCATACTGTTGTTTAACAGGTAAAACATAATAAAAAATTTCATAACCTGCATCCATTTTATGTTGTAAAACTTGTTCACAAAGACAGTTTCTTTTAAAAATGATCTAATTTTCAGAATTCCTCTAACTCGCTTTTCATGAACAAACCAACTTACTTTTTTATATTCAATTTACTAACAAAAAATAGCTTACTGTATATTTATCAATGTTATTGTACTTTTTTCACGTGCTTTTCCAATTGAGCAAGGTTTTTATCTTTACGAAGCAGAATGATAAGGTGCTGCGACGTAAAAAAAACCTGACAACAGAATAAACGTCAGCCTAAAGAATGTTCAATATAATTATCTAATGTAGCATGGGGAAGACGAAATATTCCACAGGAATGGAGTAAGGCCATAATATGCCCCGTATTTTTAGGGGGGGTAAGTATGATTGTACAAACTAAAGAGGAATGTCCTTACTCATATTAGGAAACTGTATGAAAGTTTTGGAAGAAAGACTGGGAGAATGTGTGTGTGGCAATATGGCTTAAGGCTAGGGAGAAGCTCTACAGATCTGATAGTTGCTTTCAAAATCATGATGGAAAATTGAAAAGGCATCTGGTCCAGTTCCGAGAATTTGTTTTTTGGTTTTGAATTTCACGCAAAGCTAAACGAGGGCTATCTGTGCTAGCCGTTCTAAATTTAGCAGTGCAAGACTAGAGGGAAGGCAGCTAGTCATCACCACCCACTGCCAACTCTTGGGTTACTCTTTTACCAATGAACAGTGGGATTGACCGTTACATTATAATGCTCTCCATGGTGGGAGAGGGATTCAAACCCATGACCCGCAGATTGAGAGTCGAGCTACCTAACCGCATGGCCATAAATTCTGAGAAAGAAACGGTTAGAAGTCTTAGATTGCCCAAGGTATAATAACCCACTGGGATTGAAGATAGCAGTGATAGTTTCTGAAATAACAATTAAAGGGCGGTAGGGTAAGAACGGAACAAGAAATAATTTGATATTAGATGTGGTGTAAAGCAAGGCAATATTATATCTCTGTTGTTGTTTATATTATAGGTGGATAAGACAGTTAAACATATTAGCCAAAATGATGAAAATACTGCAGTACTAGTATATACTGATGTTTCATTCCTTGTAGGAAATATGGAAAGTCTACAAAATGCAGCTCATAAACGGAACAGAGGATTAGAGATAAATCTAATTAAACTGAAGGCAAACAAGTCTATAGTATTGGTACTTTCTAGACTGGAAAGAAATTGTCATATATGGGTTGGTATCATTAGTTTAAAAGGTTGATAATTATCAATATCTTTGAGTAAACTTCAACGTGAGGGGAACACCTGCATAGGAGTGTGTGGCAAAGTTTAGTGATGTAATGCAGCTGACGGGCTTTTGCCTAACAGAAGGAAGAAGATATTTGCTTATTATGATTTTTAAATGCAACTTGTGAGAATAATTTTAAGAAAACATATCGTTATTGAAAACAGCTTTCAGTATTATTCATCAGCTCTTCTTCAGGCGAAGAGTATTTTTTAAATCATTTAATGATGGTCCTAGTTTGAAGAAGAGGTCACGAATAAGCTTGAAAACTTGTGGCAAGTAAGTAAAGAATATGGAGCTAATCTAAAAACATAATTAATATTAAAACATATATTAATCTGCTCCTGCACAAAAACAACATAATATAATAAAAAGTTTGATTTTAAGCATAAAAATGGCATTGGCTTTAACCAGACACTGATTACTGTCATCTGTTCAATTTCTTCAAGTTGGCAACAAGCTTTTTGTGAAGTGAAGAATTTCAAATCCCACCTACAAAGAGAAAAGTACTCTTAGATTAAAATGTGACATACATTACAGTGGATCAAATTACTTGAGAACTTAGTTGTTCATAAAAACGTTTATGTTACAATCCAAGTTTAAACATAGTAACACATATTATGCTATGGCTAAATTATATCTTTATTATAATGATTCTATAAGTGTGTGATAAATTCTTCCATTAATGCTATGAAGACAACTAATGTAGCCATATTTATACTTAGATAATAACAGAAAAAAAACTTTACCTCCACCATGATAAGAGCTATAATCATAAGCTCAAGACGAACGTGGTGTCGATCGTTGAGATGTCCACTCACAAGTTCCATCAACTCACAGCAGTGGTTGATCTTCTCGTTAAGGACCTTGGAAATAAACAATCAATATGTCATATTGTCAAAGATCCATAAAATGTTACTCTTGAAAGTACAACAAAGTATTATTGCCACGGATTTTGGGAATACGTCTAAAGAGACAAATTATGCACCTTTTGTAAGTGATCTTAAGCAAGTACGTTTCCAGTACAATGATATAACCAAGAGTACTTGTACTTTAGTAAGTTGCAAAAAAATGTAGAAATTAAAGTTTTATTTTGCTTCACCTTAGTAACCTTTTGTTCTGATATTTTGAACATGAACGATTTAGAAAAACCTGAATTCCCTATGACAGTATCATTAAGACAATGTTTGAAAAACAATATCTACAGTTTCCTGTCAGAAGCGCATCTATTTTAAGTCATAACATAACATAAATATACAAGAATCAAATGTATAGTACGTGGGTAAAAAGGAAAGACAAACTAGTTAGTTTGAATAAGAGAGTTTGTTGCCACTGGAAATCTCTTTCTGCTTCTAGTTAATTAGTAGCACAGGAAGATATGCTAGAAAAGATGAACCCTTTGTTTAAGTTATGGATTCAGTTTCTAGTATCCTATTTATATATAGCTAAAATTCACATTGTATGTTATGATATAGTAAAACTAACCAAAGATATTTACTTAAAAAAGGGATACAGGGGTGCTGCTAGTATTTTTAAATATATACACAAAGAGTGTCAAGGTGGCAAACCCCAAAAGCCCCAGGATTTTATGCTTTACTAATGTTGAACTTTATTTTAAAAAATGTTCAGTGAACATTAGTTTATATATATATTTATATTGTTTTTCTGGAGCACTGAACTGTATACAAGTGCATGTCCTGGTCTGACAGGTAATAATGTATTTTGGCATGAAAGGGTTTAAGTTCTACTTGTCACGTAACCTACCTTAGTTCTTTTAGTTATATTCAGGTGGTTACAAGTTTTGTGGTATAATGCTTCTAAATTCTGCCTGTCCCAATAAAAGTCAGGGGTATCCAAAAGATCTGAACACAGGTTGATCATATGCCTGAAATAAAGTTAAGAACAGTTCATTGTGCATATTATGGTTAAGAATTTGAAATGTTTTTAAGTAAAAGGCTGAAAAAATCTATGTATAAAGAGTATGTATAGAAATATTTATGAGAACAACTTTATTCTTAGCTTGTATTACTTATTTCACATAGTACACGAAACAACAAGAAAGCCTATAGGGTATAAATTATAATATTTCTTATAAAGTACATTTTGTATTGCATCTTTGGAATTTTTATTGAAAAACACAAAGTATTTCTAAGTAAAAATCCAACACTGGTCAGTGGCTGAAGTTTTTAGTTAAATCACAATCTGGGTTGTGCACTTGCAATCTGAACAATTTTGGATTTTTTTTATGCCAACACCTCCAAAGAATTAAAAAAAAAATTAATGAATTAACTCCCTAATCAAAATGTACATAGTTTTGTAAGTAAAATATATACAAAAATGTAAAAAGAATAAAAACATTAGTAATGGTTCACAATGGTCCTTTTTGTTTCGTTATAATGATTGCGTTGCATAAAAACATCTTTAATTACAAGCGTTTTGGAAATGCTTCAAATTCCATCACCAGCACTAAGACCTCTAAAAGTTTGTTCAAAATATTCTAACTACAAAAAAACATTAGCTCTTAAATTGGTAGTTTTTACACAATCAAAAGTTTGGAAAGAAAAGATTTAAATGGTTACAATACAATGAAATGTTTTTTTTTTTATCTAGAACTTTTGATGTATGTATATACTTACACAGTCAGCAGTCAGATGTTTTGTAACTGTTTACCCCCCCCCCCTAATTCAACCTTTGAACTAGTGACATACTCATGATGCATGTAATTTGTTTCAAAATACATAAGAAGAGGTTTAATTCAAAATAAAATAATTCAAGTAGTGAGACAACAGTATGCAAGCACTGAGTACTGGATAGTGGAATACT